GAGGGGCTGGGAGTGGTAGGGGAAACCCAGCAGGAGGAGCTGGGAGTGGGAGGGGAAATCCAGCAGGAGGAGCTGGGAGCGGGAGGGGAAACCCAGCAGGAGGGGCTGGAAGTGGGAGGAGAAACCCAGCAGGAGGAGCTGGAAGTGGGAGGGGAAACCCAGCAGGAGGGGCTGTGCCCAGGAGGAGAAACCCAGCAGGAGGGGCTGGGTGTGGGAGGGGAAACCCGCCACAGCACCTGGGAGAGGGAGAGGAAACCCACCACTGCGCCTGGGAGAGGGAGGGGAAACCCAACACAGCGCCTGGGAGCTGGAGAGGAAACCCGCCACAGCTCCTGGGAGAGGGAGAGGAAACCCGCCACAGCACCTGGGAGAGGGAGAGGAAACCCAGCAGGAGCAGCTCGGAGTGGGAGCGAAGCCTGCCTCGGCTGGTTTCGCTCCCCTCTCTGCTTGGCTCCAGCCACTGGAAGCCCTATTCTTGCAGGAATCTTCCTGCAATGGGCCTCTAGTATATATATATATATATGTCATAGTACTATTTCAAGGACATTTTAAACCATTATACCAGACTCCTGAATATCAACTACCCTTAACTTCTAGCCATTAAAAAGTGACTCAGAGGAAGTATTTAGGAAACTGTAACAAAGTTTTACAGAAGTGAGAGAGAAAGATACATAGTGTTTCCAGTCATAATTCTTAGGGAAATAAAACACTAATGACTAATCTAAAATAATTCTACAGAAAACCTGCTTTAAATGAAACAGAGTGATTGTGTAGAACGATAATGATAAAGAATAAAGAGTGAATACAGAACTGTTATGTGGCTTCCTTCCAAGAATCCATATTAGTAATTAAAAACATTATACATAGTCATATAAAATTGTCTAATTACTGTGTACTGGCTCTATTTCATTTTTTGGTGATATATGTATCATATATATAAATATATATGTATCATAAATGTCTCGCAAAAATATACATGATAAAGGAAATCAATCTCATATAACATGCATCTTTCCATGGGAATTGAAATATTGAGTCTGTTAAAAAAAAAAAAAAAGCAAGTACTGAAAACAATGGAGATTTTCCCAAAAAATAAGAGTAGGATTACCCTAAGGTCCAGCAATTCCAGTTTTTGGTATATATCCAAAAGAATTAAATTCATCATCTCAATAAAATATTTTCACATCCAAATTCATAACAGCACTATTCACAACTCAAAAGTGGAAGCAACCTATGAGCCCACTGATGGAAGAATCAATAAACAAAATTCAGTATTTACATCCAATGCAATTTTACTCCGCCTTAAATTGAAGGAAATTCTAACACATGCTATAACATGGATGGAGCCTGAGAATATCGTGTTAAGTGAAGTGAGCCACTGACAAAGTGCAAATACCATATGATTCCACTTATATTATGTATCCAGACTGGTTTAATTAATAGAAACAGAAAATAAAATCATGGTTACCAGGGACCAGTGATGAGGGAATTATTGCATAACAGGTATAGTTGCACTTTTGCAAGATGAAGAAATTCTATAACTTGGTTGTACAATATTGTGAGTATATGTATTACTGAATTGTGCACTTAGGAACTGTTAACATGGTAAATATTATGTTATGTATATTTTAGCACAACTTGTAAAAAACAAAAGAAGTACTCATAACTCCAGATAATACCTGATTTCTCTCAGTAGTTGTTTGAAAGCATTCCTTTCAATGACATTTGCTATGCTATTACTCTTTTGTGATGGAGCGATTTTTTTTTTTTTTTTACAGGAGATGGAAGAGTTTGTCCAGAGCTCTGGAAAACATGGTATTGTCGTGTTTACTTTGGGATCAATGGTCAGGAACATATCAGAAGAAAGAGCCAATGTGATTGCATCAGCCCTTGCCCAGATTCCGCAAAAGGTTAGAATGACCCGTGGTTGGCAAACCGTGGCTCTTTGGCGCCTTGAGTGTGGCTCTTCCACAAAATACCATGTGCGGGCGCACACGTACAGTGCGATTGAAACTTTGTGGGCCGTTCGCAGAAGTTGGTATTTTGTGGAAGAGCCACACTCAAGGAGCCAAAGAGCCGCATGTGGCTCGTGAGCCGCGGGTTGCCAAGCCGCAGTTTGCCGACCACTGGAAGCAGCTTAATAGTGCACAACTATCTAGGCAATAATTACATAAATTTCCTGTGTGATATGTAAGCCATTATGATAGCTCCTATTTATCTCAGCTATCAATTCAAATCAAAATATACAAGGCAGGAGCTAAAATAGTAGTACAAATGTGTTTAACAGTAACTTTGGCATTAACATTGTGATCAGAATGAAATGTATTTAAGAGGTACAATGTAAAGTTTGGTGTTATAGTGATACTAGTGACCTGTCGCATGAAATTGCAGGAGACCCGGACCCCCCCCCCCCACGCCCCCGCCATGGGACCTTACCCAAATGCTCTGAGCACAAACCCCTGCACTTGCTACTGGGATCAGGTTCTTGCTGCCGGCCATCTTGGCTACACCCCCTCACACTGGTCACGTCATTTCGCTTATTCACATTCTGCTCCCGACCACCCAACAACACCTTAAGCCATGCCCTGGCTATGCCCCCTAAGGGCACATCAGCTTTTCTCACAGCCTCTTTCACGGTCAAGCACCTGTGCGCTAACTTGGCTCCACCCCTGCCCTCCGCCTGGGTTCAAACCTCCTTCTAGCAGGACTTTCTTGGGGATGCCTCTGAGGGCAGCAAAGCTACGCCCTACGGACCAGGTGTGCCCTCACGTTCAGGGTACATCGTTGCGTACACTACTCCGTGGTCCCTCTTCTCTTTGGTGTTCACCCTCATTCTGCTGACTCCACATCTGTCCCTTGTGCCCTGTCCCTGCTTTTAACTCTAATAATATCTGTGCCTGAGTTTACTCCTCCCGCAATCTCTGGGCTAGGCCAAGGCCATGCCCCTACCCACAGGGCCAGCGCCTGCCCTCCTTCCCACTGTTCCAGGCTCTGGCCCTCCAGTCTTAGTCTCAGAGTCCCGCTCCACATGACAGGCGTGCTGCAGGATGGCCCCAAGTCCTGGAGTGCCACCCCGATGCCCTGCCTCTGGGCACGTGGGGCCACGAAAACCCCGGCAGAAGCAGTGCGAAGTGGATGCCAGCCCCACCTCCACTGCCCGACCTCCACTGTGCGTGCAGCCATCTTGTGACAATGTTACAGCGTGAGGGCTAATTTGCATATTACCTCTTTACTATATAGAATTGCAGGAGGGTACCAAAATCACCAAACTCTGCCCTGTCATTTGCTCCATCTCATTGCAGAATTCCTGAAAACAGGGTACAAACTACGTGACCTCAGAAATTCTAACAGTAATGTTAAGCAGGAATTAATAACAGTCTAAAAGAAGTCATGCCATTCTAGGTTTGCTAAGTAATCCAGGCCACTCTTCCCAAATTTTTGAAATAGGCCTATTCAGTGTGATTTCTGAGTACTATTCAGAGAAAGAATAGCCAGGACTCACTAAGCTGGATCCAGGTACTGAAGCCAGCCACAGTGATCTAGAGAAAGGAAAGCTGTCATGATCTGGCTGATTGAGTTTTATAAAAGTGGAGAAATGAATTAGAAAGGGGGGAGGTGGATCCACCTTTAAGGTGACCGTGTGCTTGCCAGTTTGCTGGCTGCAGTGGGCGTCATAGTGAATGGTCATTCTGGTCATTACAGTGTTCTGGTTGCTGACTTTATATATATAGAGAGAGAGACAGAGAGGCCCGGTGTACAAAATTCATGCATTTGGTCGGGGGTGGTCCCTCAGCCCAGCCTGAGCCCTCCTGCAGTCCAGGAGCCCTCGAGGGATGTTACACCTGAGAGCTTAGCACTGCCACAGAAGCGGGTGAGGCTCCCGCCACAGCCACTGCACTCGTCAGCCATGAGCCCGGTTTCTGGCTGAGTGGCCCTCCCCTGTGGGAGCACACTGACCACCAGGGGGCAACTCCTGAGTTGAGAATCTGCCCCCTGGTGGTCAGTGCACATCCTAGCTACCAGTAAAATGGTCAAATGGTTGA